GATTCTCAACCTGAGATAAGATCTGTGTCAGCTGGAGGCTGGGCCACATCCCACATGGCCATTTAAACATCTGGAATGAATGTGTTAGCGCTTCCGCTCTGTGATTGGACATGGAAGTGCTAGCTATCAAAAATCTCACTCCACTGGCTGGGGGATGACAGGAATTTTTGGGACTTTCCCTCCAGCAGTGATATCGTCTGGTTTCCTGGCTCTCTTAAATACCTCTCCGCATACAGATGATGTCCCTGTGCTCATTCCTTTACTCTCTGTCACTAAGATATTTTAAGACCCTTAAAGTCATGAAGCCTGCATTTCAGCAGGGGTAAGTTCTCATTTGAAGAATGCAAAAAAAAAAAAAAAAAAATGGATGTCTGTGGTCCAACCCACTTATATTACACTAATCATGAAGTTAAAACAGCAATAAAACCACTAAATACACATATCATTTACTATCTGTAAGTTAATGAATCTGTAAGTAAATGCTAAGCCACACAGATTTTTAATAGGATAGTTCACCCAAAAATGAAAATTGTCACTATTTACTCGCTCTCAAGTTGTTCCAAACCTGTATGAATTTATTATCTATCATAATTGTCATAGCTTTCCATCATGCATAACTATTAATGTCTCAAATTGAAGTGTTTCATTTTTGTAGCCTTTTTCTTTTAGTGTTTTCCCTAGTTTTTATTATAAAAATTAGAGAGTAGACAGGGAAGAAGTGGAAGAATCAAATGCAAGAAATATTGCAAATCAGACACAAAACCACTAGGCCATAGCTCCAGCCAACCTTTTTTTTTTCCTCAAAAGCATACAGAAAAGATATATGTATACATCACAATTGTCACAGTGTGGGAGAGACCATTATTTAGTTATTAACTCTATTTGATCAGAGGTTCTTCATTCAAAGCCGAGGCCCAGTGACAGCTGCCCTGAGGCAACCTGTCGAGCTCAACCGTACAAAGGTGCTTGTGATCTTTCTAACACTCGTTCCTGGTTTTGTATTTTATCCACACCGTTGGGATTGAACCTAAAACCTTTGTGTTAGCAGCCCAGATTGTTAACCACTTGGCTGCCCTCACCCCCAAGAGATACTTCTTGGGCGAGCAAATGTAACCGGATACATTATCCAAACTGAGGTGGCTACATATTCCTCACAGACAGAATCAAAAACAAGCCACTTAACATTCCAGAACTCTTGCTGAAAATTCCCATTGATTTGCAAATTCATCTCTGGTGTTCCTATTACCTGTATGTGGTCTTATTGTAACTTCTGCTCCAGTGATTCTCAACACTCCCAGAAAAATGTAAATATCACCCCTTGCAAATCTGTCTTTAGGGAGGCTGGATCAGTACACATGCACATTGAAGACTCTAAATTTACTGGTGATCAGAGTCCGCTGTCTCACTGAGCACAGAACATTGTTTCATATGAATCACCGTGAAATTAAGTCGCACAAAGCACATCTTTGTCCGTTTTATTTCCCCGGCAGGATTTATGTTAGTATCACTGTCTGGATTCAGCTTGTCACAAAAAATTATAGTTTGGCTTTTTATAGTAGATAAATTGGCTTTGTGTGAAAAGGTATGGTTTGTTCAAGTGCTGCACTTCCTAGGAGGTTGAGTTATGCTAGCTTTTAGCTTTTACATATGTCACATTGCTCGTGAGTTCAAAGGTAGAGTGCAATGCAACAATGTCCCGAATTTACACTCAGAGGCAAGCTAATGATTTTTCCATTAGCTGTAATGTTTTCATTGTGATGAAATACTATATTATTTTGTCTCTGTAATTTCTCATGCTTCTACAGAAGACATGCACGATATTAAAGATGAAGTGTGTAATTTCTGAAAGATTTGGGGCACCAAATGGAAATAATGAATGAATGTTTTTAAACTGGTTTATTTTTGTCTTGTTTTCCAGTACAAATATCTAAACATTCTTAAATGAAGACGCATCTACTTGAGAAGCAAAGAGACTTAAAGGTGACATATCATGAAAATCTGACTTTTCCAGGTTTTAAGTGCTATAATCAGGTCCCCGGTGTATCTACCAACCAAGGAAACATGAAAAAGATTAACCCAGTAACTTTGTTTTGGTAAGCCTTT